ATCGAAAAAAAGGAGCAAACAGCAGAAGAAGAAAAAAAAATGATATGAAAAACATAGAATTTTGATCAATGATAACGCTAATGATTGGTTCGGTTGGTGTTTGCTGGCAATAAACTTCTCAGAGAAGCTATTCTTTTTATGGAATGTCTGCAGAGAGCGAGAAAAAAAACTGTTTGACTGAATGGAAGTCTATTGGTAAATTGACCGATTTGAGTGCATAATGATGGCAATCTGGCCCAACTGCCCGATATTATCGAGTGTTCGAGCTCTATTTTCGGTTTTCTTAATAAATCGGTCAAATAATGAAGGAAACAAAAAAAAAATACACGCCCGAATATGGTGTTTGGCATTGAAGCGCAAATATTTGTGCAATTACAAAAATCCATTGGTTTGTCTACTGATGAACAATGGTTTGTTTGCAAGGAGCTTCAAGTGATATCATCTTTGGCAACGGATTAGTTGCGAGCGAAAAGAAAGGAAAAGCAAAAGAGAGCAACAAAAAACAACAACAACAACAACAACAACAACGACGACGACGACGACAGAAAAATAGTTTTAAGTGTTCGATGAGCCAGTCCACAAATGGTTGGCATTTCTTCGAATGGATTTCGCTTTAAAAAGTGAATAGATAAGAGCCACCTCCCTCCTTTTTTGTTACCTGACACAAACACCTCGGCTTAATCGACGATTAGCAAACAAGCCACTTGAAGTATTTGCCTTGTTTTGTAGCAACAACGGTTTAGCAGCGACAGAGAGTGAGAAAGGAAGCGAGAGACAAAGAGAGAAAGAGAGCGAGAGAATGATCAAGAGCTGCTGGAGCTGGAGTCAATATCAGTTTGTTTTCATTAAAAGATTTCGATGGGATTTGCAAGCGATAAATGCACCTTACGAACGAAAATCGTTACGCTATTTGCACATTTGGACGAGCAACCTTCTCACGCATCCCATTTAATCCGAATTTAATGATCTGTTTATGTCAAATGCGATTTTATTGCAGCACCTCTGAGAAGCACTGTTGACACAATATCATTATGCACATCTGGATTAAATCCTATTCATACGTCATTTTCAATGGAATAAATCCCCCTAAATATACGCACACACAGAAAGAGAAAGAGAACCAGAGAATTGAAACGCTCAACGACGTAATATTTCAATTGAATTTTTACGACAAATTGCACAATAAAGACCAACATCGCTCCTGGAAACCGAACAACAACAACAACAACGGAAAATACAGAGAAAAAAAAGAACAACAACCATTGATGCAACCGTTTACATTCACAATTCACACCTACGCATTGTGCCACAGTCCATAATCCAGACGCAAAAAGTGAAATGGGTGGCTGACAAACTGCAAACGTTTAACCTGAATGTCAACAATGCATGTGAATATGCTTAACAATGGGATTTTGTCGATGCTCACTCTCTCTCTCTCTCTCTCTCTCTCTCTCTCTCAACACCCGATACTTTTACTCGATTCTCAATGCTCGCATTCAATGAATAAACTATTTGCTGGCATTTTGTGGTCGCCTTTGCTCTAGCTGCTGATAGACATGCTCTGATTTTGCAACAAAGGAGCAAACACAGTATTTGTCATGTAAACAGCAATCAAATTATGATTTTCGAAAACATATGTTACATTGAAATAGCCCAGAAAAACGAATTGACAACACTTTTCGCTCCATGATAATCATAATGGCACCGCTTTCGCTACCCGAATCCGTCTATTTTTGGTTTTGACGCTTTTCGACAGCCATCAAAGAATATGTCATTCAATCTTTTCTCATGTTTCACGCAAATGAATTATTATTATGAATTAGTGCGTAGCACCTTCACCAATTTTATGTAGCCCATTGTTGGAATAGGAAGTATGCTGTATTTTGAAACCAGCCGAACTTTGCTGATCTATTTTGATACAATAATATAGACTACACTGTCATCAACTTACTAAAAAATTACGATTAAAACTGTGAACACAACGGTTTTTGAATTCACCTCATTTCTCACTGAGTTAGACTTTTTTTCTATCTTACAACGGTTCGATTGAAATATACATCTTTTACGCTCTTAAAAACAAACAGTTCATAATAAGTAATCACTTGAAAATGGACACAAAATCATAAAGACCAAAATGAACAAAGACGACTGAATTCGATTTCCTTCTTATGTTTATCTTCTGTTTGCCTTGTAAAAGAGAATTTTGTTTTTTTTTTTCAATTTCTGCTGAGTCAACACTTTCAGCTCATGTTTTTTTTTTTCATTCATCCTTTTGCCACCGATGACTAATAGAAACATGTTAACAACTTAATCACTTTAGAGAAAAATAAATGTGAACGACTTTCGCCATTGTTTTTGAAAAATAAGCTGAGTATCATCTTCTCTTACACCACTTGGTAAATGATGCACTAGCCGTCGCTTGTGTACAGATTTGATTCTGCATAATGAGCTAAAAACAACTGAATCTGCTCACAACATGGCTCAATGTTTTCCAACTACGTTTCATATTAAGCAAAATGAAATGTAATTCATATTAAACAGTAGTTTACGCGAAATTTTCTTTAGCAAAACGAATTGTTTCTATCTAAATAAAGTGAGGCTCAAACTATATGTTTTTTTTTATATATTTGTTTTTCGTTCGTATTTTACTAATTCTAGAACCAGAGACACTATTTCCAAGGCACACAATTGCTCAAGATTGGAATCGTGCACGATCTTCTCCACCTTGGGAAATAGTGCTTTTTAAAATTTCAAAGATTCGTGTAACGTCACTAAGAACCAATGAGTTGAATGGATTACTACAGATTGAAGAAAACATGATTTTTTCATGATACAATTTTGAAACCATTTATTTCGATTTAGTACAATTGAGTGCGCGGTTGTGGCTTTAAAAGTCTCTTTCGATGAAAAAAAGGTAAACCAGTGAGATTTGGACACATTCAGGGGTTTTTTTTGTCTCTGAGAATCAACAATTGTGAAAACAAATCGTGAAATGGAGAGATTTTCTGGTTGATTTTTTAACCAAACGTGTTGCTTGTTTCAGAATCATGGTACATGTTTGATTTTTGTGTTGTCGTGATTAAAATCGGTGGTTAATTTCCTTCAAAAAAAATTACTTTTGAATATTATAATTCAATAAAAAAAAATAATAATCGTACTTTTCATAATGAAATGGAATGAGTTCCATTTTTTCTTTATCAAACTGTAAACATAATTTAGCACATCAGACTGTTGAATAGAGGAAAATATTGATACAAACCGTTTTGAAAAGATCCTTTCTTGTGTGACAGGAAAAAAAAGCGCTGAGAAAACAATTAATTTGTCCATTTAAACCAACAAAAACTCGGTTGTAATTGTCTGTCGATATTTGGGAATTGGATGTTATGCTTGTTTCGTGTATAAAAAATTGGTAAAGTTCGACCTATTCCTCAATAAATATCACATTTCGTCGCAGTGAAAAGAAGATTACAAGTTTGAATGAAATTTGATCAAAAGATCGAGCTAAATATTTCAAACTAAAGAAAAAATTGGAATTCTTCAAACTGTCACTTGGAAGTATCGTCAAAAAGTGCAAAAATGTTACGGTAAAAAATCATCATTTATATCATTTATAAACCAGCAGTGCAAAAGAATACGAGAGTATCAAGAAAATATCAAAGAATATCAAGAAATACCTAAATGTTCTCGAACTGCGGTTCACATTAAGCAAACAAACGAATATCCTTGAGAAATAAAAAAAAAATGTTCTTTCCAATGTTAAAAGTCCTCGTTCCTCCTTCACGTCAGCCTGAAATCAAGTCAAACACCGCACTAATGTGTAATTTGAGTTCAATATTTATTTGTATCAATCACGCGATTTTTCATTCCAATAGTTTGTAATAATGCATTTTTGTTTATTGAAATTAATAATCATAGAATTTGTTTGGTTGTTATCACTAGAATAAAATAGTTTGTTGTTTAAATATCATGTTTTTGTGTTGTTGATTTTTTTTTTTTTTAGTTTAATTTTTCTTTTTGTCACAATAAATAATAGCAGCAAATTTTTGTCTGGTTATAAATTCATTTAATGAGATATAGATATTGAATTTTTTTTTACGTTTTTTTTCATGCTTTTTTTTTGTCATAACGTTTTTAAATGTAAAATATGCGTTTAAAATTGAAATTGAATCAAATTGAATGATTGATATATTCGGTGTGTGTTCACAAAAAAAGAAACGGATGAATGTCCATTTGCGTCGGATATCGTGTATGCACATAAAATTATTGCATTGATAAACCACATCCCAAATGAGTATTCTCGTCGTTTTCTTTGGATATGTTTAAATGCATAAAATCTCAAGCGATAAATTCAATGAATTTGGTTTTTCTTCTTCTTCCCACCTGGATTTATGATTACTTGTTAATACTAATGGAACAATTAACTATAATTGGTTTTTGTTCTAGTAACTCATGGTTTGCGATATGATAGTTTGCCTCGTTTTCGATATGTTTGATTGCAAATGTTCGCTTGTTGTTATAGCCGCTGTATTCTCCGTCTGTCTGCAGTGTGATTTTTCGTTTTTGCCCAATCACCGTTCGAATGAAGCTTTTAACAATATTTTGTTACCATTTTTTAAGAAATCCGAACAATTGTTAAATTCAAGTTAGGAAACAAATAGCGATTAAAATGAAATTCGAAATTTGGAATAAATCAATAGAGAATTAGATCAAAGTATTCTGTTCTATGGTTCAAAATGCCTTAAAAATGCAATTAGTGCGTTGAAATTGTACGAGCAAAATGTGGCTTTATAGAAACATAATGTTTTAAATCGAAAAAAAATTTGGTTTTGACCCGCGTTTTCAATGAGCCAATTTGTTCATCCTAAATTCTATACATAGTTTCTTTTATTAGTGTAACCCTTAATGGAAATGGTTCTTTTAATGTTTTAATTCCTCTCTCTCTCTCTCTCTCTCTCTCTCTCTCTCTCTCTCTCTCTCTCT